ACAGCAGAACCACTGAGCTAAATCCCTGGACCGAGTCTTTAGATTATTAATATATTCCCCAAACTAGAGTGTACTCACCAGGAGAGATATCTGTCCTTCTTTAACGATGTTCAAGATGCTTTTTGCTCTTTTCAAATACTCGCTCCTTTCTTCTGGGCCTTGGGAGCTGGTCCAGTTCGTGCCATTGACCTGTTCCTCCAGGTTGGGTTCTGGTGCTGAGGAGTGCACGTGGACGGCCCTGAGCTGGCAGTCCGGCACTGTCTTCTCGATTTTTCGATTATGTGGATCACTAAAGGCCCTGTTTAAGAAGTCTCTGTTCTGACTTTCAGGCTCATATGCAGAGCCACATTTAACAGGAGGAGGTGAACTCTCAGGTTCTTCAGCGGGCAGCTTGTGTGGGTCACGGAGGACAGCGGATGCTTTTCTCAAGTGAGGACTTTTCACAGGAGGAAGAACACAAAATGGTGTCAGGTTGGATGGTGAGTTCTCAGTGCTTCCTGTAGAGCAGGCTTTGCCAGAAAGGCCATTGATGGTGGTGCATAAACCCAAAATTCTTTTTTCTGAAGTCACCCTGGAAAAAGAGGCAAGCTGCTGGCTGGATTTAATGTAAGGCACATCCAGAATCTCATCCATGTCCAGGTCGTAGTGCTCCAGTTCACCCAGCGTACAGCTAGGCTCAGAGCCCTTCCCGGGCGAGAGCCCCCCTCCATCTTCAGGGCCAAGCTCTTCCGTCTGGGAGCCCTGGTCAGAGTCATCACCTTTCTGGTCCTCCACCTTACGGTCCTTTTGCTCATCACTTTCATTGTTCTCCAGAGTCTCCGGCTGATGTTTCAGGGGGGAAACTCGCTTTACTGGGCGGAACTTACTGTATACATCAGCAATGCCTGTAGGCTTCTGTGTATTTGTAATAAGAGTTGAGATGCCACAATTCCAGCTAGAGCTAGAAACTGTTTTTTTAAAAAAAAAATTTTTGAAAGAGGAGACTATTAAACTGGAATGTTGAACACATCTTTGCATGCAGGCACACATGATCCACTCAAATTATGCTCAAATTAAGCCCCTGTGTTTAAGGAGATATCTTAAAGGGGTTATATGTCCACAATATAAAGAATTCATACTTATTGCTAAACAGTGAATGCTACAGAAAAGTCATGATCTGCAGGCCCAAAATGAATTAATGTAGCTGTAATGGCAAAAAGACAGCACTAAAGGAAACAAACTCAGGATTTACTCACTGAATATATATTTCTAACAATATTTCAATATTTGCCACTACCCTGAAAACAGGACTAGAGGATGGACTGCTGTGTTACACTTCCAAACTAAATCGGGAGAAAAGGCATATGTGCATACAATCTGCACATACATGTACATGTAAACCCACACTCACACACCTCTATGCTTAGTAAGTTCCACTCAAGGACAGGGTAAGTTATTGAATGTTATACAAACTGAAACTGTGACCCATTGGGTGACTCAACTTTCCATTTGGTGGTTGCGGAAAAAAACAGAAAGGAATGAAGTGGTCTGGAGTTGAATGGATTACGAGAGACAAGTCACAGCTGAACTAACCCCAGCCTAGAGTGAGCACCCTAGTGAACCAGTAGGAAGGACCACCTCACAGTGCTCTCTGACGTATGACACAACATGGTGCACTCATACTTCACAACAGAACATGCATTTTAAGATTAATGCTACCTACCCGGAATAGCGAAAGCAATTCTGGGTAACAAAGGCAAGGCAGGGGGTATCACAATCACTGACTTTAAATTACACTACAAATCTCCAGTGATAAAAACAGCATGGTACAGGCAAAAAGAACAGATCTAAGGTTCAATGGAACAGACTAGAAGGTGCAGAAATAACTCCAGACATACTCGGCCACCTAATCTTTGAAAAAGGAGCCAAACATCTTCACTGGAAGATAGACTCTTTAATAAATGGTGCTGGAAAAACTGGCTTTCCACATGTCGAAGACTGGAACTAGACCATATCTTTCACTATGCATTAACCTAAAATTGAAATGGATGAAAGATCTAAATATGAAAATGGAAACACTAAATCAGCTGGAAGAGAGAACAAGTAGAACGCTTAAGGATACAGGAGTAGGCGAAGACTTCATGAGCAAAACCGACTACATAGGAAATATTATAAAGAATCAACACCTGGGACCTCATCTTATTAAAGAGCTTTTTCACAGCAAGAGAAACCACCAACAAAGTAAAGAGACAACCCACAGCATGGGAAACAATTTTTACCAGCTATGCATCAGATAAAAGACTATGCTAGAATATATAAAGAACTCAAAAAAATTAGACCTCCCCAAATTAAAAGACCTAATCCAAAAATGAGCATCTGAAATGAAAAGATACTTCTCAGATGAAGAATTAGAAGTGGCAAATAAACATATAAAAAATGTTCAATATCACTGGTCATCTGTGAAACGTAAATTAAACAATGCTGAGATTCCGTCTCACTCCAGAAAGAATGACTGCTATCAAGAAATCAACCAATAACAAATGCTGGAGGGGCTGTGGGGAAAAAGGAAACCTGCTCCATTGCTGGTGGGAGTGTGGACTGGTACAACCAATAAGGAAATCAGTGTGGAGTTTTCTCAAGAAACTAGAACTAGTGGCTCCATCTGGCCCAGCTACTGTTTTTCTTGGTATCTTCCCCCAAAGAATTAAAAACATCATACCACAGTGATGTATGGACACCCATGTTTATAGCAGCACAGTTTGGAATAGCTAAATCTTGGAAACAGCCCAAATGCCTATCAATTGATGAGTGGATAAAGAAGATGTGTTTTTTTGTACAATGGAGCATTGGCCATAAAGAAGGATGAGCTTCAGACATTTATAGCTAAAGGGATGGACCTGACACCACACTTCTAAGTGAAATAAACACATGTTTAAATGCCACATTGTTTCTCTGGCATGAGAAACCAAAATTGGAAATAAGGACTAAAATGCATAAAAGATATTGGGAAATGGGAAAAGGGAAGAAAATGTTCAAGTGGGAAGGGGAACAGGGAGGAAGGAGGGGGAAAGGACGAAAGGGACAAGAAAAAAATGAAAATAGAAGGAAAAAAATGGAAACAAAGCTTTTGTCCACAGGGAGGGGAAAGGACTTATGGGGAGGGGGTAGAGTGGGATAAAATACAATTTATTTTTAAAATAATAAAATAAAAATAAAATTGTCACACAAAAAGGATTTAATGCTACCTGACATAGTTGGAAAGCTGGAAAACAAAGAGGAGGAAGAGAAATTTATGGAAGGATGGGGTAGGCAGATTCGCTTTTTTCTCATTTCTGTGCCACATTCAAATAAAGACGGCAGTCTCTGCTTGAGATGGAGTGTAAAGCGAAACGACCAGATACACCGAGGTGAAAGAGAAGGACCACCGCCTTTCAAGTAGGCCTCACGTGAGGCCACCGGACACCCCTCTTGGGGCAGGGAGGTAGAGAGCCTCAGTCCTCATGTGTGCGAGTGCCTCTTCCTCTCTGGGACACTCTTCTGCTGGAGAAAAGACGACCCAGCACTGTAGAAGCTTGCGGGCCTCTGACGGACAGGTCTCTGCTCTCCTCCTAGTTTACCATCCCCCATCAAAGAGGCGCCACTTCAAGGCACACCCTCCACCTGAGGACCTCTTGTCTGTCTCCTGCTCTGGACAAGTGCAAGTGGGGAAGAGTCTAATCCCAAAGGAAGTACACTTGTGTGTCCTCGGTAACAGAGCACAGCCAAGGAATGAAAGGACTGGATAAAGGGGTGTAGCTTTAACAACGGTGCCCAAACCCCACAGAGGGGATAAGAGTGAGAGTTCTGAACCGCACTGCTCTGTAACTGAGCTCTGTCTAAAAGTGACCATAATTTGGAACGTGATTTGACATAATCTACAATTTGCAGTCCAATCCTAAGGCCTTTATAGCTCTGACATTCTAGAATCTGAGAGAATAAGAGGAGCTGTGAAAGGAGAACGGGTTTTGTCCAGAAGGGAAGGACGGTGTCTAGATGGCCCCAGACTGCTGCTTCTCTCCCTTTTCTTGGGTTGGGTTCTTGGTTGTACACAGTACTTGGCCTAGAGAAGACGAATAACAGATGCAAGCACGTGAATTTGAATCTTACCTTGTATGATTCATTAAATCTTTAAAAATGCACACAGTGCATCCTTCTGAGGGATTTACAACTTAATCTCACAGGGAACCAAAGTCCTGCTAATAAACTCAGAGCAGTGATAATCACCAATAAAAGCTATGTTTTCTAAAGTTATTTATGACATGTAAATATGTAAGGCAAAGATTAATTCCAGTTAGTTCTCTATAAATTTAGAAGTTTTCTATCTTTCTCTTTAAAAATGTGAAACTATGAGAAATGAATGTTTGCCAGAAATTTCTGCCAAGGCTTTCTCTCTTCCTTAAGAACACATGATTACTTACTTACATAAAACAGAAGAGAGAGAGAGTAGACACAGAATTTATAAGGTATAATACGCCTTTAGTTTTTATTCATCATTCTTCTGAAAAACTATAAACATAGTAGGAAAACATACTCACAGACATTTCTTATTATGAGGCATAATATTTGCTAATATTTTACCAATTAACTTTCTTTGGGCCTACTAAAATATGCATCTCAAAATATATTAAAAAATGTAAAGCCACATGACTTAGCAGGTCAATACAATGAGTGCATTGTACCAGTATATTTATGTATTGTATAAGGTTATGAGTTCAAAGGGCTACTCTTTTATGTTGGCTTTATTTACATGTTAAATTTTTTCCAAGTGATATAGGGAAATGGATACCATATGTTTCTCAGCTGTTTTGTTCCATTAAGAATGCTCTGTGGAGATGAATTCTGTCTGAATTTTATGAGAACACTTTTTTCCACAGAAGGGTCTAGAAACTGAAGAAGGATCATCAACATGTAGGCTCACTGTCTTTCCTCTTACTCAAATTTTTTTTGGGGGGGTGGGCAGGGTGAATTCTGTGCTTTCTGGTCTATATCTTGACTGTCAGGAAAAAAATTCAGTCATGAAAAATAGCTGTATTTAACAGGCTTTCATGCAAATGAGTAAATGCTCTAGGTTAGTGGTATACTATATAATTGAGTGAGAAGAATGTCAGGTTTATGTACGCACAAAGGATGAAATTCAATTAGTTACTTTATCCAAAGCTAGGCAAATTTAAACACAGGACAAGGAAAAGGGCTATTAGAGACCGGCGAGACTTTCACTTCCAATCCTTTGAATGTTCCAAAAATTTCGGTTACATTGCTCCTCTACTCTGAGAGTATAATAGATTTCTTATCATCATTGGAAACAAATTTCAGAGTAACTATGGTTACTAAAAAGATTTTTGAGGCTAAATTTCCTTTTTGGAAATTATGAATAAGCTATTTACATACTAACAAAATTTAAACCTTTGAGAATTTTATCTATTTTATATTTTTTACAAGATGTGGGGGAACATGATATCGGTCGCATTTGTCTCTGTCCCTCAAAGCATACAGCAAAATGTTGTATTTAAATAGGTTCTTAATGACTTTTGGGGTGAATGGGTTCATTTTTCACATCTTATGGAAGTAAACAGATGACTAATATGCCTTAAACCTGTCTACTTGAATATGTCACAAATTTTCTAAAATGGTCAGGAAGCAACTGGATGTGTATATGATGCTGATTTACAGGTTACAATAATCTCCTCTAATCTAGCTGGCGTTTGGGATGCCTCTGAATGTCAGCAAAGAATTTTCAACCACCCAGTAAACATCTACCCATAACTGTTTTTCAACAAGCACTACCATGTGGGTGTGCAAGTGTTTAAGGTGGGTAGTGTATCTCAAAGCAGAGCTCCTACCTCTTCCTCTCTTATGTGTGTGTGCGCGCACACACACACACACACACACACACACACACACACCATTTCCCTAGCACTTTTCTCTAGAC